GTAATGATTAGTTTTCAGGTCAAAAAACATCGATAAAAGCCCGGGGGGGGAATCCGGGAAAAAAGTACCGGGGATACTCGTCGTATCTCTTAGTGGTAAAAATTCGCGATTTGGTATCTTTTAGGGTGTTAAATGCGAATTTTTGAAAATCAGCATTTTCTGGTATCTCTTAGGGTGTCGGAAAAGGAAAGAAGCGTGCATCGATATGGCTTATCCTAGGCGATTTTTATATAACATTTAATATTATTTGTTGTGGTATCTCTTTAGGGGTTAAAATCATTCAACCACGCCCTTTCGTAAAGACTTCCGGTTTCTTTTAGGGGTCTTTCTGAAAATTTCCGACGAGCATCCCAGGTACTTTTTTCCCGGAGTCCCCCCCCCNCCCCCCGCGGGGATAAAAGCTCTTGGATGGATCACAAATTAACAATTGCGAGATACTAAATGCTTACCTCGTTTTTTACGAGTTGTTTTAGGACGTCGCTTGCGTTTTGGTTCATTTTGGCATAAACCAACACGTTCCATTGTAGCCCAGCAGCCCCTTTCCAGTGAAAAATAGGTCACGTGCAATTATTGAATGCATACCGATCGAACTATCGAAAGAATGTTGCTCAAGTTATCAAAAGAATATTGCTCGAACTATCGATTGAATCTTGGTCAAATTATCGAATAGACATAGTTGTATTATCGAATGAACTTTGCCTCAATCATTAATAACGTATACAGTGAATTATGAAGAGCTTTGGACATAAAATCGAAAAGGTCAAATTATCGAATTTTGCTACATTTTTATCAAAGAAATTTTGAAAAATCGAAATTATGGTGAGTGTATTTTTTAACGGCCTAAGATACAAAAGTATTTAACTTATAATTTCAAAGAAAGGCTATATCCAAATCCGCATTCACGATACGAAGATTTCCGTCGTGACCTCGAGTCGGTTGCCGAAGGAAATCCGTTGAACTGGTGTACAGTGAGCTCCTTGTACGGGTCAGAACAAGCGAGGTAGTATGTGTATACAGGCAAATTTCATGGTTTAAAGACGTGAAGACTAATCTCTAATGCGACTTTCTCGGTTCTATAGGGATGTGAGAGAAGGGTTATGGCTAAAATTTGGCGCTGGAAAGAACATTCGAAGACGTACGAGGTTTCAAAGGCTCGTGATGGTTCGCTGTTTGGACCCGAGTCTCCAACCTTCTCTTATTTCTTACTGGTAGGGGAAAAACATATTAAAACGGGCTAAATTCAAAAAAATAACCACACAGAGCGAAAGAAGTGCTATTTCTCAATGATCGGGTGAAATTTCGAGGCTTTATTTCACGTTTCAATGATTTTATTGAAAGTTTTGATGAATCCCCATACATTTCCTTATGACATGACACCACAGAAACTAAGCTTGGGCTACCTGTGTTTAGAACCGTATTTTTGCTGATTTTATAAGCTCATACTATCTGTTGGCCTATACATTAGCCTCTTATGGTTTCTTAGGTTTCGTAGCCTCGAAAACACGCTAACTGCGGTAGTTAGCGAAAGAACAGAAGATTTACGGGTCATTTAGGATGTTTGGTCACGCAGTTTACTTGTGCTATATAACTTTACTTTTAAAAACAACCTTTTGCTTTAGATAAGAGAGAAAAAAAGACCTAAAAGAGCAAATATTCCAAATGTATGGGCAATTTTTTCCAATGAAAAGAAATTACACCTTTTCTCGATGGAATTTGCGGCATTTCGTTTACATTCTCGACTTTAAGCTCCGAAAAAGCGCCAGAGAGCCTTTCTTTTAAGCATATTGTATATATGTGTAACATAGAAACACTTGCATGCAGAATCAAGTACTTTTAAGGAAAATATAGAGGGGGGGGGGGGGTATGAGCTCGTGTCATATCTATTTTTAGATTGATGGATTGCACCACCACGAGGCAATGTGCCCGTGGGGGCACCGTGGTGGGGCAAGGGGTGGTCTTGTGGCTTGTTTTCACGTGTTGACTATTGTTTCCACACAAAATGTTCATCTTAGATCAGATTTGTCATCTTTAATCAATTATCTAAGTTGAATAAATTTTCAGTTGTTGCTGTTTCAAATGCACTGGAGATATTCCTTATTTTTCAGTGAAAATATATTACCTTATAATGGGAATGGAACCCATAGCCTTCTGATCTGGAGTCAGACGTGATAACTATTAAACTATAAGGTCTTCCTTGAATTCTGAAAGTTAAGATTGATCATCAGTTGACTGACTTTCAGTGTCACTAAAATTATTTTCTTTGTTTTGAAAGGCACTTATAAATCAACTTTCCTCTGATGCCTAGGACAGCAGGCTAAAAGATGTAAATCACGAAGTAAGACAGACATGTCTTCTCTAGGGATAGTTCGTTCAATGAAATGGCAACGTTTTGCTTGCAACTGCCACTCCCAAACTAGTTCATGTAATGTGTTAGTCTGCCATAATTATAGTTATTCCACTTTTGTATATACGTACTCTCAAAAAGAAGCATTGAGATCTCATGCTAATGACATCATTAGCTGATTCATCAGTGCCTTTCAAAACAAAAAGAATAATTTCGGTCCAAAAGGGCGGCGGATTCGTGGGTGATATTGTATCAACCCTGATGGGCGCCCTGAGTCCGTTATTGGTATAAGTAATCCTGAAGGGCTAAAGAATATCATTCTACTTTCATCCACACACGATCGAGTGATCATTATAAAGAGAAAGTGGGTTGAAGACGAGGAAGATGCGTCAGCCACAGAGACCACTAGTGAGAAGGAAGCTTTGGACACTGAAGTTGATCAGATGGTACAGCAGCTTTCCAAAAGCATACCCAGGGAAAGGGCTCTAAATTTACTTCACAGCATGGCCGCTTCTAAGGAAATTTTGTATTGGAATTCGCATGGAGAAATGACTTATCATCAACGAAGGATCCCAGTTACCAGCATGTAGGAACCCATTGAATATTCCGTACAGTGGATTGGTAGAACGAGGCATTAACAAACATGTAATTGGCAATCGGAAACGAAGATACGGATGAGAGTGACACTGAAAGTAAGTCAACTGATGATCAAATATTCCAAAGACAAAGAAAAAGTTTTACTGCTGTAATGACTGCGATTCGATTCATCAGATGTCATTAAAATCTGGCATTTTCAATCTTATTGTACCACGACAAGAGAAAGAGATAAATGGATGAAGAGGCAAACCATGGAGCTGAGCTTGATTTCTTTCCTTCATTACCCATGTGGGAAAAATTCTAAGCAGTAGCTGAGTTCAAAAGTAATAACTTAAGAGAGAATTCTTTTCATATTTAAGCAGTGACCGCCAAAAACTATTTTCTTGAAGAAAGGCTGTTGTTCAAGGCTAAAATCTTGTTATTCAGAAAGTTTAACTTGTTTGGAAGTGGAGATGACCGATGAAAGTGGAATCAAACTGTTAACCCAAAGCAAAAATTTTATTCGAAAATGAGGTCTTAGGCCTTCATTTGCTTATTTCTATAAAAAAGCCTGACAAAGCAACATTATAACACAAATGCAACAAAACATCGATGTACAATTGAAAATACCACTTCAAACAGGCATTTTATCATAGTACATCAGTTTCTAATTGCTTAAAAAAGGTTTTGAGTGTTAACCCAAAACGAAAATTGGATCGAAGCTCATAGGAAAGTCTAGTTTTTGGCGTTTTTTGCAATTATTGCTCATTATTGAAAAAAATTTTCTCTTAAAACTAAAACGGTAAACCAATAAAGTTTTAGTATCGTGACTGAAATATGCAAAATGAAGAAACTTGAGTGAAAAACACTTGTGGCCAATATTTATTGTATTCAGTGAGCCTTGACAATATTAGATAAACTCCCATTTAGATCATACTTAATGTAGGGTTTTAATGAAGAGTTGGTAGAGCAACGGACTGTAGAGCAACGGAATGTACGTAGGTTGCTGGTTCAATCTCGACCCGTTCATAAAGAACAAATAATATCAAAATCCGAGAAAAATGCCGCACGCGCCACTTGATAGTTGGCATGGCTCATTCATATTCATTAAACCAGATTAAAACTCGACAACATAATTATCAAACGTAAATATTAAGGTAATATATTTTCACCGAAACATGAGGAATATTTCCAGTGTAATTCTAAAAGCCGCAACTGAAAATTTATTCAACTTTAATAATATATTAGAGATGACAAATACGATCTAAGATAAACATTGTGTGTGGAAACAA